GTTGGTTTCTTGCACACCCCACCCACCGGAACCTGAGCTCAATGAGGCAGCGCTGTAGCTTTATATTTCAGCCGGAATCTATCAACAGCCTCGATGGTCCACACACTGCTGGAGAAGTCCCAAATCTGCCGCCAGGAGTCGCACACACGATGTCAATCGGCGCAGCCTCCTTGCGCTTGCTCCGCCTCTTCACTCCCAGAGTGCCCATGATTGGGGTACATCTTTCTGTCCGCTCTGTTGGTGCAGGACATACGTACAAGATAGCGACATCGCTGGCACTCAAAACCTCACCTGCCCACCACCAATCCGGGCCTGCAGCCCGTTCGAGGTGCCCCTGATTCGACTCGCCCGCCCGTGATTTTAGAGGTGGGTCTTCTTTCTCCTGGAAAAATCAAGTTTCGGTTGGTTGGGGGCCATTTCCCCCCGCCCACAGTTGCTTCCAAGCTGCTGCCTGGAACAGTGGCAGCACGCCTTCAGACTTTGAGTCGAACGCGCGCCTAAATTTCAATCTGAGCAACCAGCGGCGCCTAAGATTTAAGGGTTTAGGCTTGTGAAGCCTGCCCAGGGCTCATAAACCTTATGGGATCTTACGGGGTTTACGCTGTGCCAAACATTCGACACCCTGGATGACATATGCCGATTTGATCCAACAGACAAACCCAAGACGAATGTCCCACGCACGGCCCTAGTACTTTCCTGCTGCATCAGCCTGCCGTGCTGAGGGTTACCATTCATGACACCCGAACATCCGTGTCTGCACGGTTGAAGCGCTTTGAACGATCTTACGAGTGGATCCAAGGTTTGGGCTTCGGTTCCCTTGTTCCTGAATCGTACGCCATACTCCGAAATCTTGGACCCACGCCTTGGGACATGATGAGGGAAGGCAGGAGAAGTGATTTCACCAGAAGTGGATTGCACGGGCCGTCCTGCGGCAGCACAGCGCGTCAAACGGAGAGAGCCGAACTGAAAGATTGAGAATTCAGGGCTTGAGAATAAGGTCTCGAGGTGGCGCTGTAGTCGTAGTCGTAGTCATAGTCCTCGTCGTCGTAGTGGTAGTAGTAGTAGTAGTAGTAGTAGTAGTAGTAGTAATAGTAGTGGTAGTAGTGGTAGTAGCAGTAGTAGTAGACTACAATACTTTCGTGATCTCGTAGTCCAATACCAACCTCCGCTGTTGTGGGGGAGGGGGGCTTGATGACATACTTTTTGAGAGCACATCCATTTTACTTTCGTGATGTTGTACTCCAAAAACCAACGATGAAGATGATGGGCTTCGCTTAGGTGCCAAGTAGTTGGTAGAAGGGTGGCTGCTGGTAGTAGTAGTAGTAGTAGTAGTAGTAGTAGGTGGCCCGTGCTGAAGTAGTAGTTGTCGTGGTAGTGGTAGTGGCAGTGGTAATGGTAGTAGTAGGTGTAGTTTTTGAAGTAGAAATAGAAATAGTAGTAGTAGTAGTAGTAGGAGGAGGAGGAGTAGTAGTAGTAGTAGTAGCAATAGTAGTCGTAGTAGTAGTAGTAGTAGTAGTAGTAATAATGGTAGTAGTAGTTGTAGTCGTACTAGTAGTAATATTAGTAGCAATAGTAGTAGTAGGAGTAGGAGTAGTAGTAGTAGTAGTAGGAGTAGGAGTCGGAGTAGGAGTAGTAGTAGTTAGTAGTAGTAGTAGTAGTAGTAGTAGTAGTAGTAGTAGTAGTAGTAGTAGGAGTAGTAGTAGGAGTAGCAGTGGTGAGTAGTACTAGCAGTGGCAGGAGGGAAAGGAGGAGCTGCTGTAGTTGTAGTTGTAGCTCTAGCTGCTGCTGCTGCTGCTTCTGCTGCTGCTGTTGTTGGTGTTGCTCTTGCTGTTGGTGTTGGTGTCGCTGTTGCTGTTGTTGCTGTTGGTGTTGTTGTTGTTGTCGTTGTTGGTCGCATTTGGCAGCCAGTAGCTAGTAAGTAGTCGATGCTCGTGATAGATAGTGCTAGGAGCTAGTAGGTCGCAGATAGTAGCTAGTAGGTGGTAGGGAGGGTTACACGTAGCATGTAGTATTCGTCGTCGTCGTGGTAGTGGCGGTTGCAGTGGTAGCGGTGATGATGGTGGATTACTAGTTGCTATACTAGCACTGGCACTAGTAAGCAGCAGCAGCAGCAGCAGCAAGCTTTTGCAGCGACGAGTGAGGCCAACACTGAGTATGTGAGTTCTAAACGGTCGTGAACTACATAGTTCCATGTGTATCACAGCTATCTACACATATATGTATATAATGTACGTATACCGTATATACATATGTATGCAAAAGTACCTGCTATGAAATGCGTAAACATGTTTAGATATGTGTGTGACTGTAAGTGTTTGTGGTTGCATCGCTTGCCTATCACTCCTGTCCTGGGCATGACCTGGCGTCGTTTCATGCTATCGCCAGAGCCACTTCTTGCCGCCCTGTTATTGTACGAGTTGGCTGGTAACTCCGGGCCTTGGCAGCTTGCTTCATGCCTTGGCTGAGGTCGCGGAGCTGCAAGTCTTGACTTTCAAAAACCGACATTTGCATAAATCGACCGCACGGAACACTCAGATCCCAACCGGGCGGCATGCTCGTGGCGTCCAAAGAGGCACTTGGTTTCGGCTGCCGACGAGAAACAATGTAACGGGCCGTCTCTAGCTCAAACTGCCTCGAACCACTGCGGCCAAACACATCTGCATGTGTGTGTGTGTGTGTCAGCATCCTCGTCACCAAAGCCCCCCAGTTCCTGCTGTAACTGTAACGAGATGCTTTCAGGCGACAAACTCAGTCACTTAAATCATCATTTGATACCCTTCAATGGTTAGCAGCCCAACATCGACACAATGTTGGGGTCTGCCAGACTTCTTCAGTTGGCCCTGGGCTAAGAGCCCGGTGCACAGATGGCCCCTCCGGCTCTACTACTCTACTACTACATCTAGTCGAAATGTCCCTTTCTCAGTTTGTGCGTGGTGATCCTTGATAACTCTGACTCAAAGTGTCCTCTTTTACTTCCGAAGCGATCAACCTGTTGTATATACGTTCCGGGAAAGCAGGGGCAAGCTCCTGCTCACAACCTCGAGGGAGTGCACAGGAGGCGCCTCGAGACTCCGGAGACAGCTGGGAAGCTCTGCAGCCAAGACCAGCACGGAAGCTTCGACAAAGTCCTCCTGCACTAACTAACACCCAGGTAGCATCACACGGATGATTTCAGGTCAATCACTCGACGCGAAGACTCTAGATAATGTTGTCACCATGGAGGGACAGTCTTGCCTCCTCAGCTTGTTCGTGCTGCTTTTGCTGCCGGTTCGACTACTTCGACAATCTCACCAGGCCGCCTCAGCATCAAATTACTTAGTGGTATCGGTTCTAGAGTGGCCAAGGCCTTATGTGCACCAGGCTAGCCTGCACACGCTCGAAGCTAATGTTTATGTGCCCTGCAAGGTCAACTATAGTTTAACAACACCAGCTACTGCATGCAGAAGCCCAGTGGCCAGGTTTTGTCAAACCAGGGTTCCAAAGGGCCGTAAAGCCGCAATAGCAGGAACCACATCCTGAGACGAGGCGTCGATCTTTCGGATTTTGCTCGGGTGTAAGATACTCGCTCGTGTTGAGGCCTATGCTCCGGAAGCCAAACAACAAAAACATATACCGAAGAAAGCAGGACCCAAAGGGCCCGCAACCAAACCGACGCGTGTGGCAGCTCAACAATGCTTGGCGAGGTCTTCCTACCTGTGATTGTCGAGGGGGAAGTGTCAGTCCCATGGAGGAGATGGAGGGCCTATGGCTATGGTTAGCAATTCCTCTCGCTCCGCGTCATGGGCGAGGTTTTGAGACTCCCAAACAAAGCTTTTGGAAATCACTCTTGGCCAGGCCAGGCAGGGGTCGCAACGGCGGCCCGACAAGGGACAGACAAAGACAAGCGTATGACAGTGGTTCCGGATGGTTCTGGTACCTCACAACGATAAGCAACCCGACGCATTTACGTCGCTCCTTTTGGGACAACGGGCCGCAGGTTTTTAACACGCAGATGGCAAAGGCAAAAATACATGCAAGCTCTGAGCCTGAACATCAACTCTTGCTACTGCTCCCTCACCTTGTCCCTTCACATGACAACTCCTGTTCTCGCCACTCTGCCACCACTACTGATGCCATGCCCTTGACGTGAAAAATAGCATGCATGCCCGTTGCATCCACCTTGACATGCGGAAGACTTCTTCTAGCCTTCGACGCAAACTGCATCGTTTCGCCCTGAGCCTGGCATCGATGTTTTCACAACTGACTTTAAGCGAGAGTCTTTCCAGGTACCGTCTGAATCCAGTTCCCTTCGTGGCCAGGCGGTGCAGACGGGCCAAACCAAACCTCAGATGGCCAGGTGCACATTGGTAGTTTGCGTAATGGTCAGGGTCTGTGTCTTCTGAGATTTGCGAGGGACAGACTCTTGACGAAAGGAGGTCTGCACTGACCTGCCTTAAGAATCTTAAGAATCAACACTCGAACAATAAATCAATCTTGCGCATCTTCGAGCACTGCATTTCGCCCTGAAGTCTCCATTGCCCTCAAAGAAAGGACCACTTCGACGCGCCAGCTAAGGCTCTACGTGTGTGCCCCCGTTTGCGGGAGGCTGGAGTTGTAGGGACTGCTTCACAATGCAACCTTCTGCTGTGAACACATATTTTTCCCACCCGCCCATCTGACCAAGTTTCACACATACAAATGTGAGCACGCTTTTCAGTTTGAGCAGAAGAGTGAAACCAAAGAGGAACAGAGACCAGCGGGACTGAAGCAATAAGCATTTAAGATTGGAGGTTCAACACGAAAGGGGGTTGCTGCCAGGAAGCAGTCGTGGAGCCATCTGGGCTTTGCTTGATTTCGGCTGCATGGGCTACGGAGTTGCGACTTGGGAAGCGCTGTTTCGTCTTGAGCATAGAGCGTGTCTGTGTGTCGTAGACCACCAAAGACCAGAAGTCTTTTGCTGGCACGTTGGGCGGCAGTGTGAGACTGTAGGTTTTTGCTCCATCCAAGTACTTGTGCTCCGAGTCCCGGCTTGCCATCGCATACTGTGATCCGACACCAACCATCTTCAGGATCATCGCTGCGCTGTTCACAGTGGCAACATAAAAGAACCTCGTTCTTGCATCTTTGTTCCGACCTCCTGCACCCCCATGACCCAGCCAATGGTAGTCACCTCCCTGGAAAAGGCTCTGCCATTCGCTGTTTTCGTAGATTTCCGGATTATCCCTGGGCGCGAAAGATATGGCTCGAGAAGTCGCGTTGCCGATCACGGCGGCCTCCGTGAGGAGTGCTTTCATCCTTTCGTCCGGCTGGAAGGGCTTGCCCTTCATGATGCCTATGGCGGCAAGGTTGCCCCTGAGTTCTGGCTCTAAGAAATCGATCGGCTCATACTGTATGACGGCATTCACCTCCTCGAAGAAGCTGAAGTCGTTCGCATGAATCGTGTTCATCACCCTGCCGGAGATGTTTAAGTACTCCATCTTAGGCGGATTGCCAGAAGCAGACAGCGGGTAGACCTTGAGCTTGTCTCGCCACTCTGCGGCTGCATGATCTGGCTTGCCTTCGCGAAGGAAGCCCCGACCGACGAACCAATTCGTGTAAGTCGGCGATGTGGCGATGTAATAACCTTCTGGGGTGCTGCCCTTGTAGCCAGGGGGCAGGATCAAATATTTCCCTCCCGCCCCACGGTCTGGGCCGGGACCGCCCATGTCAGTGACGAAGCGGAAGAATGCATCGTCTACTGTACAGGGCCCCACGCCAGGGGGCATCTCGACGACGGTAGGTCCATCCCGCTGAAGATTGAGCAGGCCCGTTGCGTAAACCTTATGCGAAGATGTGATCCCTCATCAGGCTGTCAAACTACAACCGTTTGAAACGTCCGTCTACGGCATGAATCCATGCCTCTCAAAAGACAATGGTTCAGTCAGGGCCATAAAAGCGAAATGACAAGCAAAGCAGCCTATGCGGTCTGCAGATGCTTTCGGCGTCATAATAGTTGTGCAAGTGTGCAAGTAATGTACGATAGCGTATGTACATACCATGGATGCCCACACCCCTCCGAACATGTGCACCACTGTTTCGCCATGAGGCTGTGTCAGTGTTGCCCGTGAGGAAGAGGCTGCTGCAGTCCATGAGAGTCTCGAATATCATAATCTTGTTCGCCGCATCCATGCCGCTCTCTACCTCGATCAGCCCAATGGAAGCATGAAGTATCAAGAGGTTTCCGCGCTCTGCGACCTCAAATCCTTGTGTCATGCTACATACTATATGTTGCGAACTGCCCAAGCCTGGCAAGGCTCCAAGCTTGAAACCCAAAATCTCCACCAGCCCGGAGTCCACAGAAATGTAAACCCAAACAACTTTCATGTCTACCTCGTGTCTGCACAATTGTCTCTCAGGGGATCTCAACAAACTGCGCTCAGTACACATTATTGAGCTTGCTTCTTGGAAGTCTTCAAGGCTTGCTGCAGCAATAAGGTTCCAACCTGCTGGCGTGCACCATTCAAGTTTTGGAGGCATAACGACACTGGCGGAAGGAGGCTCGGTTTGCAGAATAACTGATGCCTCGCAAAAACATCAGAAACAAAACGGCCACTGGAACACAGTGGCCTATACAATCTAGGCCCAGATCCAAGAATTTCTCCTAAGAAAAGTCTCTATCTAAACCGTGGATCTCGTCTTACACGTCTTTTTGCACAACAACTCTCAGTCGCTGCCGAGTTGCCAAGCCACGGCGCATAGCCTCCAGCGACGCTAAAGGCACCATATCCAGGAAGGCACTCACGCCCCGGGATCTGGGCTGCAAAAGAAACGGAAGTGGCCAAGCTTAAATTGGTCCGGTGCAGCCGAGGGTAAAAACTCATTCTGACGGTCTCTGCTTGACACCAAAGAGTGCTGGTTGTACAAGTCTGGGAGAGCTTTGGGCTTTGTGGCGTAGCTGCTTGGGATTCTGTTTGGGCCTAGAGGGCGCAAAAGCACTTCTGAAAAAACCGTGCCTATCCAGGTTGTCGTAGACCTTCTGGACTGTGTCATCATCTGGGAGTCCGTCGCGGAAGGAAAGCTTTCCCAGACATGTCTCATACTCGTCCTCACCATCCAAGCAGAAGCGGTTTTGGGAGTTGGAAGTTGCTGAGACATGTTGACTGGCACCATTCGGACTCGCAAGCTCGCTTCCCTAGGGCTTGAGGAACAGTAGCAGTCGCAAGGCCAGCCTCAGAACAACTGCGACCCACTGCAACCTGGTGTTGCAAACCTTACCTGCTGGCATTCCACAAACTGCTGACAATGTCGACGGCATCCTTGGTGGTGATACTATCTGGAACAGCGCCGAGATCTGGTGCTCCGCTCATAGCTTTCTCGAGCCTACCTTGAAGCGGTAAACAACAGGCCCTGTGAGGACGGTGTAGTGCAAACCGACTGAAACACTCATGTGGATGCTTGCTCCTTGAGCTTCATGGCTGCGCCGAGGAGGCAGGAGGACAAACCACCACGAGTCATCGCATCTTGCATTGCGGTTGGCAGTTTCATGACCGCGATATGGTCGAAGCACTGTTTTACTGCCTGCGGAGGCATGGGTTCCATTGGTTCAAGCTAGTCTGTCTCTCGCAGTCAGGGCACGATGCACAAACTCAAAGGTTACGAAGCCAACTGCACCTTCAAGTCAAGCAGGTTTGTGCACGAGCTTTCATGCCGCTAGAGCTGTGCCTCCAATCCCCATCCTCCAAGCTTTAGGCACAAAGCCCTTGTACAATGCGGGAATTCCTGCAAACGTGAGCTGTAGATGGCTGCATCCCCCTCTGCACATATCTCATACAACCCTCTGCCTCCTTCTCGCGAAAGCTCAAGAAGTGTTGCAGGCAGCGTCCTTCCATCCGTTTCGTGTTTGCCCTTTCCACTGAGTAGCCTCGTGCACGATCCCCCTAACTCCCGACACTAGCAATTAGCACCCAAAAACGAAATCCTGCGAGCTGTAGGTCTGCTTTCCTGGATCCGGCTCTTCCTCAGTGGAGTGCATCGGCTGGCGGCTGGCCAGCGAGCGATCTCTCAGCTTCTGACACCACGTCCAGTGGAGCATCAAATAACCTCAGGTAGTGACTCACCGAGAGTCGCAACGTTGCAGTGCACGCCAAACCTCCAAATGAGGGCATAGCGTTGCCACAATTCCAGCACACAGCCCAGTAACCAGATTCTGGATTTCGCCAGCCTTGTGCTGCACAAAATCAGGCATGCTGGTTGGGATTGGACCCCCAGCTTTTACCAGTCTTTCGCGAACTGAGGCACATGCTATCGTCATTCGGCAATGTCGATCACATCATATTTGGGACCGCGTAGTAAAATAACGTTCCGACAGCCGACAGCCGACATAGCAGGGTCGTTTTGGCGGCCTCTGAATTTGCTGCCAGCATCATCGAAGTGAGGCAGACCAAGTCAAATGCAAGCAACAGCTTTGCATGGACGAGTGGCACCAAATAACGACACGTACAAAAACACACGGGCAAGAAATGACAAGACTCTCAACTAGCGGCTAGCGTTCGAAGCCACAAGGCAAAGTTCACAGGCCAGGCGCTGCCATGGAGGTCCGGATTTATCGGGCGACTTTTGTGATTAGCAGTTGTCCCTCGCCTGTTCGGGCAACACTGGCGCGGTTTGAGTTGTTTGCGTCTGTACTGCCCGTGCATTTCCATGTGGGTGGTGGAGGTAGCAAGTGTCTGTGAGGAGTCGCATGTCTGTTGCGAGTCTCTGAGATGGGTTTAGCCGCCATCGCCGACTGAGGGGGCGGGCTAAAGTCTTGGATCAACAGCCATCGCCGAATAAGTAAGGCATTGGGTTTAAGAAACGAGAACGTTGAATCCAAATCTTGGGGCAGCTTCCCACTCCATTCTCGATACTCTCTTGTGGTCCTAAGAATTAAGAAACTTGCCTTCAAATATGCTTTAAGACGTCCTTTCAATCAATAGTTCAGGCACCGGTGCAGTTGTCAAGCTGCAGCTGATCTATATAATCACTGCATATCACTGGGGAACTGCGCTGGCAGTTACTGGGTTGTTGACCAAGCAAGCTGTGAAACCGTGATTCTGCCATTGGATGCCACCGGTTCACAACTGGGATCTGTGGCCAATCCGTCGGGTCCAGGGCCACTCAAATCCGACAGCTTTGCGATGGCCCCGAAATAGATCTGCAAGCATCACCACGCATGACATTCGCACAAACTTCCAGGCTGAAGTGATCAGGCGCGGGACACCATTCCAAACAGAATTTCGAATCACCTTCGAAAACCAGCCCGGGTACAAGCATCGAACGGACGCAATCACTGCAGCTGATGAAGACTTGCAAATCGAGTTACTGTTGTGGATAATCCCGTGAAGAGTGCCATCGCACCTTCCTCCGACAATACCTGAACACTGCTTTTCTGATGCATGTTCCGGAAGTCCAGCTCACATGTGCCCTGAGGCATCAACTTTGACCAGGCAATCGAAGTCGTTGCGATAAAACTGCACAAGCTCCTTGCTCCTTGCAGTGCTCAGCTGTCTGCAAACACATGCGGCAAGAAGCGGCCCTGCAGGCTCAAAGGACACTGTGATTGCATAAGTGTCGAACTGCATACGAACTTTGACAACTTGAAACGGCGTTGTCACAAGTGCTTCTGGAAGCCCTTAGAGGCCAGGGCAGATTACATGCATGGTGCCGCGTCACAGAGGTGTCCCTGCATCGAGACATGAGCAGCGTGCCGGAGCAGAAACCGGCCACACCCTCTCTCGCCTGGGATGAGTTGTCCAGGGAATGCCGGGTGCCCCATAGCGGGAAATGATATGGGCATCATAGGCAAGCGGCACAAGACCGCTGGTAGCCATTGGATTCCAAGAGCCTAGACCTGGCAAATAGGAGATCCAGCACGGCCTGCACCCCTGCGTTCGAGGCACTGCTTTACATGCTTGCATCCCTGCCAAGAACTATCTTTTTTTTTTTGCCGGTTGGTTGCTGTCAGAGATCGGCAACGTACGTTGCCTTCGCATTTGCGAACAGGCCACAATTCTTCAAGCTGCTCACCCCTCGCTGTCCCTCGCCACTGATCAACAAGATGGACCGTGTTCTGCTATGTTCCCACTTGGCGAGAGTAGCATGTGTGATCTGTAACAAAAAGCAAGAAGATGGTTATGCTGATGTTGTGAATCTTTAGAGTCTGGACAATATGCTGCAGCTGTATGCTTTCTTCCAGCACAGCAATTATTCTAAGTATTGCTTTCTAGTACAGCATCTATTCAGTCTATTCGTGACAAAGTCGTTTGCTGCTTTGGGCCGGTCGCTCCTATGCGTGTCTCCTAGCCAGCTCCATCTTCCAAAGAACTTGGTGGAGGATGCCTAGATCCTGGAGAACGCCGACTGGGACACTCAGGGACTCGTTGCACTTGCTCGTTGACATGGGAGCAGTTGATGGGCTCACATTTGCAACGACACCCTCTGCCCACTCAGGCAAGGGTGATTGCACCAGGAGGGCGCGGGAAAATGGTGCACCGACCAAATTGACAAGTTCAAAGCGGCCCCGGTTCTGGTTAGCAATATCCATGCAAGCCTGCACGTAACCATCGTACGTCTGGTTGTTGGATGGAAAGAAGCGAATGCATTCGTTGCACGGGATCAATGCACAAGGCTTTCCCAAAGAAGCAGCGAAACGAAGACTGGGTTCAGTTGCTTCGTCGCCATATAGAGACACGATTGCACTGGCAGACGAAACAAGGTCGGCGTATTTGGCATGAAAGTTCTCATCGAACATGTCTCGGAATGCGGAAAACTTCGGACAACCAGGCATTTGCATCATTTGATCGATGTTCGTTAGTCGATTCGTTTTTCCTGTCAAGCCCCAACTGGGATCGACCACAATGGTTGGCACACCTCGTTCAAGCAGCGCCATGGCAACGAAGCCGGGTTCTCCTCCAACGTCAATCACCCCGCTCCCACTTTGGAGCAATTCGAGGCCCCAGGTTCGGATCATCCAATCAACCAAGCACTTTGCTTCATGAAACTTCGTCTGGCACCACCGGTCGCCGCAAGGGGTGGCAATCCAGTTGGCCTCTGCGATGCTCTGAAAAACATTGGCACTCTGGCAAACGTGGGAACTTATGGAACTTATCATAAGTTATCTACCCTTCTCAGAACCCGCACAGAGTGAGCTTGAATCTCGAGTCTTGACTAACTTGCTAGCGAACAGTCTTCCGACTCCCCATCTATGACGAATACGCAGAACAAAGGATGTAAACGTCGAGACGCCCATTCCGCTCGCGTCCTTCCTGAATATCGCGGCTCATCGCTCATCTGCTGTTGCTGCCAATTCCATTGACATCCATTGGGGTTGTAGCCCGGACACCAGCCGCAATTGGCACAGGGGTTGTAGTTGCAGCAGCTGCACTGTTGACAGGGGTTGCAACCGCAAGGCAAGCAATTGCAACCACAGCCGCCGCAGCCACATCCGCACGAGGCGGCGCCGCAGCCTTGAGCGCATGTTTGCCTATGCAATGTGCTACAGGAAATCTTTAAATGCGTCCGCCCCTTCCCTTTTTGCTTTGCCCTGCCATCAACATGTCCTACTTGTCCTGATTCTTGTGCGAGATTTATAGTTGTGGCAAGGTTTTAACATATGCTAGCGACAAGTTTCTATTTCCGAACCCCTCCCTGCAAGGGCAGTACGGTTATATGATGTTCCTGCAAGCTCCTGCGAGGATGTCTTCCCGGAGTGTCAGTGTGGACCCCAGGGCGGAGGGTCTGGGCACCAGAGTGCCCAAGGACCGGGGCCCGCGCTGGGGGGGGGGATGTTTGTGCCTTGGCCCTGCCAGAGGCCCACGTGCAAACACCCAGCAGAAATGAAGGAAAATGCACACAAGTATTCGCATCTAGCTTTGTCAAGCACAGCCAGCATCTCACGATCAGAAAAGATACAGTCATTAAGCCACGAAATACGCCGTACAACATGCATACGTAACCTATGTATACATGTGTAGACACACACATGACATACATACACCTTTACATATACATATGTGTATATATATATATATATATGTATGCTACCCCCCTTTAAAACCCGCAGAACCCTTGTAATCTAGATGCGGAGCCCCTTGTATTCACAAAGCTCGGGACTGGTAACCCCCCCCAAGACAAAGCTCGACCATGTAACCTGTCGTGCGCGTCTGCGCACTGTTGCAGATGTAAGCCGAAAACCATGTAAATATCGATAGAAACCGTGTTCATGGACATTGTCTACAATCTCGATGCCTCTTATCGGGGTTGTAAAAAACAGGGTCCAGTTTTATATTTGTACTTATCGTGACGCTCTTTTATATGTGATGACGTGCCTCTGCTCTCCGGTTGCATGTTACTTTCAGAGCCCACACTGCTGCATGGAAAAGTCTGCTTGGGTAGACGCAGACAGAACATACATGCAAATTTGCATTCTTTTGCAAACACCACGAGGGGCAATCGTGTACAAATGCATGTCGTGTGTGAAAACTCAGCGGTGTAAATGAAGGAAATGCAGAATCTAGGAATCTAGGAAATGCCTGAACAAATCGGAGCTTGTTTAGTGAGGGGCATAATTATAAAGAGAACGGAATACCTTATAGCATACCCCTTGTACCTACCCTATAATAGAATGCCTTCTACCATACCTTGTGAAATAACCACTAGAATACTCTGGGGAATACCTTTTAGAATACACTATACTACTATACAATTCCACTCTTAAACCCTCTATATATATACACACATTATAGAACACCATGTGGAATACCCTGTAGAATATGTACCTTATACAAAACCACTTTTTTTTTGGCACTCACTCTCGAAAAAGCAGGCGGGGCTCCGGTCCGACGAAAAGCATACTTCGAAAGTTTCCCCAGCACATTACAGTAGCCAAAGGCACGGTATGTAACGCAAGCTACATACCCGTGAAACCTCTCACGTCACACCGTACTGTAACAGAACCCCTTCACAAGCCGTACAAGACCACTTATACATGATACACCCCCCCGCCTTATTTCAGAGAGACCCTATAGGACACCCTATAAAATACACTATATAGAATACCTTATAGGATACCCTGTAGATTACCTCCTCTATTTACCTTCTCTATATACCTTCAACACTTTCATATAGAATACCTTAATACAGTATGGAATACCTTGTAATCTACTTTCAGGAATACCCCGTCTATCTACCTTATACCATATCTTATACAGTAGCTTATGGAATACGCTGTAGAATAGCACATAGAATACCCTACAACAGACCTCATGGAATGTATAATACCCTCTATATATCGTACGCCTTGTGGAAGACAATCTGGAACACCCTATAGAATACCCCCTATGGCCCTACATATGATAGCCCATGTATACCGTATACATACCATAACACTATATAATACCCTATAAACAACCTTTCAAACAAATAATATATATATATATATACGGACAATCCGGACGAGCCCAAGAACTGAGATTCCCGGCCATAAAACCGTAGCTTATTGGGTAAGGCATCTTTAGGAAAGAAATCAGGAATCGAAGAGAGTGACCTGTAGAACACCTTACAAACTACTCTCTCTACAAACCTTAGCTTAGAAAAACTCATATAGGTTAACCTAGGTATCACATTATAGAATATCCCCTATATACCTTATATGCACCTTATTGAATACCCTATACTCTATAGATTACCTTATAGAACGCCTTCTACACTAATTGCAACTTTTACGTTTATGTTTACGCCTTGTAAAATCCTTTATACAACGCCTTCTGGAATGGCCTATAGAATGCCCAAATAAATACGTTGCATAATATGCCCTTCATCGGCCTCATAGAATACCATCTGCAATACCGTATACACTACCTCATTCAATACCCGCCGTGTCTGGTACCCTCCATACCCCATAGAAAACTCAAAGACAACCCTATAGAATGCCATTGGAACGACCCATAGAATGCCTTATAGACAGTTTTGTCGATACTAAGGATAAATCATGGGACAATCAGGAGAGTAAGGCTCTATGTAATACCTGCTATACGCCCAGTATGTACCTTGGGTTTACCATCTGGAATACTCTCCATTATGGTTGAGATACCCAGCATCTACGGCTATGGGTCTTCGGGTTTGCCAGATTGCTCCTTTCGGGTTTGGGTCTGTGTTGAGCTGCCCAGCATCTCCAACAAGGGCTAGGGGGTGCTGGCCCTCTCTCTCGCGGACTCAGAGGTCTGTCAGCCGCGCGGCCGTCTAACACTTCGTCAGACACCGAAGGAACCACTACAGAAACTACAGGGACTACAGGCGAGAGACTCGATCAATCCAATCCTGCGGAACTAGTTCCAGCATCAAGAGCGGGCCATCACCACCACTGTTGATGTGTTGCATGAACCCTGTTGGGGCCAATTCCATCATATTGTGCAATAGTTTGTTTGGGTCTTCGGGTGTGCCCGCCACCACCTCTTGTTCGAACGCGGAAAGCGTGTAAGCGGGTGTCATGATCTTGTGGGTTGGGAGTTTGCACCACCATTTAGGGTTTGTGCTTTCTGGGAAGGCTGCATTTCGCCTCCTGCATTGCTGAATAAGTCACTTGGCAGGCTGGTAGTTGCCATACCATTGACTTCACATGCTGCTGACACCTCACGTGTTACTAGTCGAAAGTTCCCTCCTTCAGAGGATCTAAGTTTGACGGTTTGCCACCCATCGTTCCTCGTTGTTTTTCAATTCTTTTTAAGTTTTCGGCACGCAGGCCCAGTCCCCCCATTCAGGCTGTACCAGGTCTGCCACCCGCCATCTTCTTTGAGGCTTGGAGTTTCTGATTTGTCATCGTTCATCTGGTATTAGATTTTGGGATGCCTTGGCCATTTTGGCGAACAAGGGCTGCCATCCATCATCTTACAGTCACAGCTTAGGGTTTTTTCCATCTGTGGATATTTGGAGTACATGGGAATCACATGAATCACTTACCCCTCGTCGTGTTTGGGCAATGGTCTCATCTAAGAGGCATGCAAAACCAAATACGAGAAGCATGCCATGCAGGACAAGGCAACTGACAAGCCACAGAACATGCCACGGTTTGTAATAGCTTCATCACGCGTGTAAGGCCCTGGTGGTACGAGGTTTTGCACCTAGTGGCATGATAAAGGGTTAGATGCTTCGGCCACACACCTAAAATCACGAGGCTCTAAACCAGCACATGCTGAATGGTGTCCCAAATCCGGGATTTCGGTTGATTGGATGGCACCGGAATCTCATTAACCCCAAAAGGATGATGGTTGGCAAATCCTCATGCTGTTCACCCTGGGTCATGTGAGGCTGTTGCACAATGTCCGGCCCGCATGTGCAACTAGAGCCACGGCCTTGTGGGCAAGCGCAAGGGCAGCCGCAGCCGCACCCGCAACAACCGAAGCCGCAACCGTTGCATCCACTACATCCTTGCGGCCAGCTACATTGCTGTTGGCATTGGTTCGGCCATCCGGGGCATTGATTTGGCTGCGCACCTGGACAGGGGCCGTGGGAGATGCTGAAACCCCTAAAATCAGCAGGTGGAGGATAAATAAAGGATGGTGCCCGTTCACCGTGCCTGCTGCAAAGTTGCCCCAGCCAGAATTTGCACAGCCAGCAGGCCAATTGCCGCCTCCGCTTTGTGCAGGGTTCTGAAGCTGCGGCTCGCTTGAGCTGCACGCAGAAGTGGAGGATTCACACCTGCAAGCTTTGCAACCTCCTGAATTGCCACCTCCTGTTTCTGTGGTGCCCCGCTGCCACCCGTCGTTGCCAGCAGTCCCCAGGCATGTCGAACCATTGTTCACAAAACTTGCGCTGGCGTTGCTACCATCAAAGAATCCACAACTGCCGGGCATGCAGGTCTGCTCGCTGCACCTGCCAAGCGGCACTTGGAAGTCCATGCATTCTCTCGGAGGAGCACTCATAGCTGTACGGAAAGCTTGGGCCGATTCCAGTGCAGCGATGTACAGACCGTCAAACATGCCCACTGCTCCCTTCACCATGGAGTTGCAGCCAGGTAATGTATTATGTGATGGCGATGAGAGCCCGACATGCCAAGCTATGCTTTATGAGTCATTTATGAGGCACGAATGGCAAGAATGTAACAAGGAATCGTGACCTGACTCACCGGAAGTTGGCTTACAAAAGAAGCGATCTAGTCTACCACAGGACAACGCTCATGCCAGCTTGGCGAGAAGTCTTTGCCGGCAAACATAGCTGTACGGGTGGGCACATTGCCAACCTCGTGCACACGCATCCGGCAGGAATGAGCAAAGCTGGCTTGAACTTCGGTGTCTGTTCGTCCATAGGCCATGCCATCAATCCACAAATGTCGGCCCAGGTGCAAGATTCTAAAGTACTGTCTTGTGCGACGCACGTCCCGACAGGAGCATATGCTAGCATGCATCTCAATTAAGCCACACATAGCACTTCACGCACATCTGCTGACGAGACGATTGCATCTTCGAGGATTCGAAGATCGGCGTCACATCCATCCTGGAACGCTAGCCTCTTCAACAAGCCTTTACCAATGTTATCCTGTGGCGGTGACTGCTGGAAAATCACCAGCACCAAGATCTTGGTGCAAGGCGCGATCCCGGGTCAGTTCGACGGACACACTCCCAAACCCTGCGACGGACTGCACCGAGGCAGGAACCATTTCTGGCAGTAGCCCTCGATAAAAGCGCGGCCTGATGCTCGCCAACATTGGAAAAAGTGTCTTGTCAATGGCAGGCGACGCTCACCCCACTCGCTCTGCAACATGATGCTTCCTTCTTTCACTAACAATTTTGGCGCTTGTCGCCGCCTGTGCATTCTGTAAGGCTGCTGCCAGCCTCCCTCCGCATAGCATTGTCGGAAGGCCTGCGACCTCCAGCTGAGATTTACATCTCAGCATTTGTGCTGAAAAGGGATGGTTCGCCTCACACTGACAACCGGGTTAGCGTTACGTATCTGGGCAGCATTTACACATATTTGACGCGTACGATATGAGCGGCAACTTCGGCACATTCACCATTCAACGGGCAAGCAAAACATCGACGTTTTCACTGACGCAAGCTTCGGGATCCTCAGGCCATTCTCCAGCGAGTTGTTGACCTGGGCAATTCAAGGCATTGGAGGCCCCGTGCCGTCCTGTGTCTCCACATTCTTGTCTCGGTGCAGGTTGCTTTCGATTCGGATCATTTTACACTGATCAAGTGCAAGAGCTCGGTGCCCTTTCGTCAAGACGGTTCTGCATACGCACAAGTTCCCAGTCTAGGTGCTGTCAGCTTGTACGCCTGAGCCAGCGACAGGTGACTGCAACCGGTTTGTCGCATGCCTGTCAGCAGACAACCAACAGTTGGCTGCGCAGCCATTGTAACTGTTGCACGTTTGTTCCGTTGTCTGCTAGCTTACAACAGTGGCCCGCGCTGACCACCTTCGAGAAAGGTTGGCTTCTTGGCGTGAAGTTTCCGGCAAAAGTGCTCGTTCCCGAAGAAGCGCTCAAATCACCCCAGTTTATCGGCAAGACCCATTACACTCCTTCACTCTCGCACAAGGCAGGCAAGGCTCCACACGCAGCTCCGTCACGCCAGAAATGACCCCAAGACAGTACTCATACCAGCAGTGCCATCTAAACCCTGAAACAACCCCACGGAGTATGGCAAGGTCGCACGCTCAGTCTCCACAACATAGTACTCACCTACGTAGCCCACGCACAACAAATGAAAGAGCCAACAATATTGCCTACATAGTCAGAAAAGGACATGGGCGCGCCAGGTAGGCAAATAGTGTCAGAGTAGAGTGGGCCATGTTCACCTAATACTGTCGCTGACATGGCGCACGTGTATAAAAAGCAAGCAGCACTGGACCACAATTCCACAAGAATGATGCAAGATTAAGCACAGCTCGCAACCATTTGCCGATTTCAACAGAGTCCTCACATGGTTAAGCGAGCACATTAATTCACTCAGCTGGCATCACATCATGGTGCGTCGTCGGAAGGCTGGATAAACAGCATGCAAGCTTTCTTCATACTTCCTGATTTGAATTCTGAAAGCAGATGCCCTATTCAGGCAGCCAAGGATGTGGTTAGCAGACGTGTCTTGATCGTGGTTTCCATCGATGCACTTGTTTCCGCTCTCGCAATCGACAATGCAGGCGAAGCTTGTGGTCTTAAGTTGGCTTTGATAAAACAAGCTGAAAGAGAAAGCTTGGACGGAAACTTTGATCCCAATAGTACAAACCCTGCTAAGAAGGAGTGTCCTTTGCTTCCATGCCCGATGTCCTGCATATACCAGAATGCCTTTATAGTCCAGGACCCCCACTCGTATTCATAGGATCGCATACAAAAAAGGCGAGGACAGGACCTTCTAGTGTCGTATGAACTAACTAAATTAACAGCACTGCGAGGCAGGACGCCTCAAGTACTTGGATGCGATCCCTTTCGTGCGGTTATTGTGTCATCAAGGGACTCTCGTTATGTACATGTCAGGACTTCAACCTACTCCTAACTCAAGATGCAACAACGGCAATTACTGTTTATAAATGCCAGGAGCCGTTCACTTGCACCTACATCGAAGCTTCAGTACACCTTCAAGACGTCAACCCAGCACTTCCGTTGTTTGCACTGCTCTCCTTTGCTCCACCACACCATGTTTACAGGAAGAACCACATCCATTGTCCCTCCATGTTGTGGTGACCTCTCAGCCGCCCAGCATGACTGTCAGGAGCCAGCCACTTGCAGACGTATTGTCATGAATTCTGCTCGTCTTTGATTCGGTCGCCCTGCCGCAGCTTCAACGGGCGGGCAGTTCCCTGCCCCGGGGGGATCCCTGGAGTGTTCTGTCTCTCGCTCTGTTGCTCAGAATCCTAGGCCTCAAAGTCCAGAGATACTTTGATGCTTTGCAGATCAGCTTCATTGACGATAGGAGCTTCGCTTGTCATAGTGCGGAGTCTTGTTCTGTGGTCTGGAATTCTTGGAAGCACGAAAGTATGTTACTTGGGCTTAAAGAGCATGCCGGTAAAGCCCAGTTGTACCATCGTACTTCGCGAGGAAGGCGACAGCTTAGGCAGACTGACTGTGCACCTTTTACTTCTCACCAGCTCACAGTGCTCGGTGTGTTAATCGGTCCGCATGGTCAACCTTTAGGCCCTAAGGAGTCTAAGAGGTTTCTCAAAGCCAAGCTGATCGCTTTGAAGAGCAAGGGTCTTGAAGTGTCTCGGCAGGTTCTTACGCATCTCTGTGCCTCGGCTTCTGCTGCTTCGGCTAGCTGGGGTTGGGTTCAGAGGGCCCCTCCTCAGGAGACTTGTCGCAAGCTTGATGCTCTCTGGAAAAAGGTAGGCTCCAGGCTCAAATGCGCGAGTCCTTACTTGAACAAACTTCTTTGCGGTCACAATTCCGATTTGGGATTTGCTGCCGGCATTCAGCTCTTTTCGGCGCTGTGGCGCTTTGTTAAGAACAAGTGCAGGTCCTTTCTGGGCTGGAACGAGTCTTTGCTTGCGGGTAGGCTTCGTGAGTTTTTCGAAGGGCTTGGTTTCCAGGAAACTGCTCCTTGGGCTTGGGCTGGGCCGTGTGACATCAGCTTGTTACCTGGCTCTCTGGGAATTCTTTCTGATGTTCTGCATCGGTTGACGGAAGTTTGGCGCGGCGTTCTCATGAGAGTTCCGGTTGCAGGGATGTCACTGGGATGCCTTACTGCGGTCAGGCGGCTAAAATCGCTAGGGATCTGTCGCAAGACGTTCATAAGTTCGCTGTCTTATCTGGGGCCTTCGTCTCGTGGGCCAGATTCGCAGTGATGGGGAAGGACGACTCTTTGGCTTCGTGCCCTTATTATTGCAACTCCGCTGTTGCTACTAACGAACATGAGTGGTGGCATTGCTTTGCGTTAGGACGACCGCCGGACATTACGCCTCTTAATGCGGCGGAGAGGCTCTTGGGTTGGCCCACAGGAACGAATCGGTTTCATGACCAGAAGGTGCTCGATTTTCTGGCTGCCGTGCGCGTCGAGGACCGAGGATTTACAGCTCAGATATGGTTAAGCCTTTTGGCCTCCTGTCTGCTGTTGCCGTTAGGGTTTCGCGCTCCGCGCTTCCGTTTAAGTTCCCGGGAGCCCTGTGCTCCGCTTAGGTACAGGTGCCTTGCGCGCCTCAGTTAAGGATCCGCTAGCCGTGTGTACCCGGGTTATGCCTTGTGGTCCTCGGCGTTGTCTAAAGACTTCCGTGTTCAGGTGGAAAGAAGAATATTTCTCCATATTTCTCCCGCCTCATATATGCTGTAAAGGATGAAACAGTATGCGAATCACCCAGGCCTAATGCTCCTACTTCTTGTAAAAGAATATAGTCTGGCGTCCGGCGGTCTAATAGCTGACTGCAATGTGTCAAGCGTTTCCTGCACTGTTTTGCTTCGCAAGTTCCAGTGGACCACTGTTGCATGTAAGACAGCGGCGTTAGAACCAGCTCTTCCTTCACCTCGCTTGCCCTCATGGGCGCATAGCCCAGCATCCCTGCCTGCCTCCTTCTGGCAGAACTCCTCTACCTTTACAGCCGTAATCCTAGCAACCAACCCAGTGTCTATGCACCAGCCGTTATGCTGGCCCCGGGTGGTGGCAGTTCTCGGGCGGTGGCCGTGGAAGAAGACATTTTGCGTGTCAACATATACTCCTCCTCTCCCATTCAACTCGGCCCGGATCCCCAAAGCTCCCCATCAAGTCCTGAGCCCTGAGAATAGACCTGATCTTCTGACGTTCTTCAGGCGGCCGGTTGCGCTGGGCCCATATCTTAGGCCCCCTCTTGTCCCCGGGATGGCACTAGTAGGTAGGGTATGCTTTTCTCTGGCAGCTGGTTCTTCAGGCCTTCAGGCCTTGTGGGGAGCATCACTCGTTCGGGTGCTCTACTGCCTGTTCCTTGCTTACCAGCACCCACGGGGTTCGGGGTTCGGCACATGCACTGAATTCATTGAATTAGTGGGATGTTTTCTGGTCTGCGCGGGGTTCTCTTTCCCACAACCGGATTCGACACACCTGACTCGTTCGGAGCAACCTGCACTAGCAGACCTGGAGCTCCCAGCCCATCTTCTTTAGTAAGATCATATGCTCAGGCACTACGTCAGGACTGAGGCGTCTCCGAATTGGTGATCCCCTACCTTACCCATCTGAAGGGGCCCCCCAAGTGCTGCAGAGAGAGCCGCACTAGCCGCTTCGAGACTCCCGGAGAGGACGGATTAGGGTAACAACCTCAAGCTTTGTGGTGTGCCCCGCGTGCCCCTCCTCTCCCCCTTCCTTAATTTCCTCTGCAAGTTCTGACAACACTGCGTGCGACTCAGGATGCGGGGGGGCTGGGCCTGCAGCAAACCAAGTAACGTTGAACCAAGAACAAGCCTGTCTACCATGAGCGGGCCTCTACGCTGGGGGTTGCAGCAGCCCTTGAGCCAAAATGGCTACGGATGCTCTTGTTTCCTGTTCACCGCCAGGCCAAGATTCACGGGGCGCTCTCGACAGTTGCACGAGGAGACGGAGCAGAGGGTTTACGGGGAGGTGGCCAAAACCATTGAGCACATGCAAACGAAGCAAACCGACTATGGGAGTAAACCGTTGGGAACGGACGGACTCCGTAGGTTTCGGGCCCTAGGCGGGGTTGGCAGGCTAGCTAACTTGGCAAGTGCAGCCATAGAGCTAGCCAAGTAAGCGTGAAACTGCCGCCTAGCTTGGTGCAACAAAATCTCCGAAACTGGCCTCAAAACCATGCACGCCCGCGAGAATCGCAGAAACCGTCTGTCCCTCCGAAGTTTTTCTACACAAACTGCCACTAAATGTTTCTTCTGCTCAACAACTGCGTGCTTTATTTACCATTATTTCGCCACGTTTTCCTCGCCATCCCTTCCGCCACTGGCAACTCAGTCTGTGGCAAAGACGCGCACGTATTTGTGTACAGTGCTAAATAGGCTTAGCACATACAGCCACATGCACACATGAGTAGGCACCTGTCCACGCAAGGAACTAGATGGCTAGATGGATGAATGGAGATGTTAATGGACAAGACAAAAAAGAGAAAAAGAGAGAGCGAGAGAGAAGAGACAGATATGGAACGAACTAGCATGACACAGAGGTATAGACCAGGTAGGTAGATAGAACATGATGGGGGCACATGTAAAAATAGATCCTTCATAGATACTAGTACATAAACGGGTGGATGGACGGACCTGCAGAGTAGAAAGTCAGGGGCTACGTAAGTACATGATTCAAAAATCGCCTCTTTGTGGTACCAGTGAGGCCTTGCTGTTTGCCTTGCTTTGCGCATGGCTAAACACGAACTGTGCCTGTGACCCGCGCGAATGCACTGCCGCATCGAATATTTTGTCCGGATGGGCTTGGCTGTTCATGGACACCCTGGTCCGAACAACTGGAAGTCCCCCTGCGACAACACCAACAACGAGCGAGGGGAGAAGGGTCACGTGGCAGCCTTGTGGTTTGCGAGTCTTCCAGGGCTCGGTGCCAAGAGAGCGAGCGGGGGAGCCGCCTCGTCGAGTACCAAGACATGTAAATTGGGAAAGCCACGCTGCAGCCTCAAGGCGCGAATCGGGGCGAACTGCGAAAACAACTTCAAGCCCTTCCAAGCGAAATCGCACGGGACGCTGAGGCGCTAACATGTAATCTCTTGCCTGTGCTTGCGGCCTTGCGTCGGATGGCTATGCTAGCTTCCTCCATTACCCTCCGAGCTCTCACGTGTGGCAGGGAGAGCTACCAGTAAGCGCTCGGCGAGCGAAGCCTGCCGTCGACATCCACAAGAAGCAGGAGCACAGGATCGCCGGCTTCGTTTTTGCCTTCCTGCGTTCGAAGCACGATGTAACATCCATGGCATGAGCTGGTCTGGTCCTCCAAGCACGATACGAGCAGAATAACTTCCCGGTCCAAACCTAAGCGACACGCAAGTACATGTCGATCAGCTCTCTTCATATTCACTTGTTGCCGGGCCGGAAAGCAACACAAAGGCAAAGAATACTGTGCTCTTGACAAGGTGGAACAGGTTTACTCGCGCCGTCCTGCAATGCCCCGCACTGCGTTGTCGCATTTCAGCCAGGTGATGGAACATGCTGCTGCCAGCCTCTGCGCAAGAAAGGGCATTGATGTGTCCGCTGGCGAAAAGCACTCCCATGGCCAAGCCACGTCCAGACCTGTGGTTGGTTATGTTGCAATTTTTAATCCTTCTCGTCGAGTGCTCGGCAAAACCGACATGCACAATTCAAACGGGTGAGCGGGACGACTCTTCCCGCATCGCATCAGCTGCCTTGAAACCATGCAAAGAAACAAACTCGGTTCCGGAATACGACAATTATGAAGGTGCTCAACTTGTTGCGTGCCTGCCACGTCTCATGGAAAAGGCGTTTGTGCTGTGGGAGCTCCAGAAGTTCGCCAACCTTGCCCAGCCTTTGTGTCTGCGATCGATTGCGACTGCGACAAGGCGCCGAGTGAGCTGCTCATATGGCTGAGGCCTCTTCGCAGACCATGGATAAAGACTTGCAACCTTGTCAGGCTCTTGACCGCAGACTCATGGCCATGCTGCACCATGCTTGCGCGCACCGTGGAAGACCAAAGCTTCATCCGGCCAGCAGGAGATGGGTTGTCTGAAATCCAGGCGCACAGTACCGGAACCTTCAACGGCGCATGATAAGACTGATAAGAAGTTGGATCGTCAAGTGCACCCTGCTCCGCCCAAATCTGGCCTGGGGTTTCAGGTGCTGGGACATGAGCTCACGATCCAAAAGCGAAGGTGTCGGACAGGTATGTGGCTTCCCTGAACAACAAGAACAAGCGTGTCTCCACGTCAAACAGACATACTCCAAATGCAATGACCCATCTTCTGCCTGATTCGCGGCAAGATTGCTTATGAGTGGAACCATTGTTAGCACTGCATGTCTACATGTTTGCAATCAGTCAATCAGCACGACTTTGCCAGCGCCGAGCCGGCAGGCCAGCTTCTGCTTCTAGAAACCCACGGAAAAATGGCGCGGGCAGTGAATACGCAGCCGACAGACAAACGAAGATCGGAAACAGCTGAAACTCCGCTTACCGTAGTGATTGTACGACACACCGAGGTGCACCCTTTTCTTTGTCCTCGGGAAGCTTGAGATTGTGCCATGTTCTCATCTCGACAAGCTTCCGCAGCACTCCAGAATTTGGTAAGCTTAGCAAACCCTCGGTTCTCGAATCACGCGCTTGAGGTGAATACTGCAAACCTTTTTCCTTGAAGTGACTTGTCAAAGGTGGAGATTGCCGTGCGCAGTTCCAAAGCTGCGCTGCTTTGTCAGAGTCTGCTATTCTTGTTTCGACCCCTTATTGTCCCTGCGGTTGTCTTCCTTTGCTGCGTAAGTTCTCTTCCGCGGAGAAGCTAATATCCGCTCTGTTTCGAAGGCAGGCCGAGTGGAAAGCATGTGACTGCGGAGAAAACGTCTCAAATCTAAACTGTGGAACTGTTATGGACTGTTTCTCGAAACTAGCAACTATTACAACCAACAGCGCCGCCAAGACCCAATATCGGAGAAGGCGCAGTTTTGGTGTCTGGCTGTTCTTCCTCGGCGAAAACAACAACAGGTCGCCCAGCCTGTGCATACTCCGGACTCTAGAAAGGACCACATTTGGAAACCAGCGTCCATGCACACACACTACAGGCAGGAAGCTGGTGCAACAACTGACTGCACACATGTGCCAGTCCCTGTCAGTAGCTGTGCTGTGGTTTTTGCCTCTTCGCAAGCATGATGAATCGATGGCTGCTATTGCACCTGCTCTCGTTGGTGCGTGCACTCGCTTTCGATGGCTTCGCCATTCAGCGCTTGTAACCTGAGGCTCAATTCGGTGAGGTATGGTGAGATGCGACCCATCCTCTGGAGCTTTACTTACTGGACTGACCACTGGTCAGGAGCAAACGCAGCCGGAAGCAGGCATGTCAATATCTGTGTCAATGCCCTCTGTGCGGTTCCCTTATTAAAACAGTACGAGTTTTTTGCTTTTCGACGCATTTCCGAATCCAGTGATGCAGCTTTTGATGCTGGGGTCGCTTCGGAGTGCACATCCGCCGCACATGACTGCATTGTTTTCGGAGATGCTGCCTCCTGCAAGAACGACTCCAGTCACTCCTGCATATGATGTGCCAGCAAAGTGGGCTCCGACAAGTCCGGAAGCCAAGTGATTGCATTCCAGGTGCCTTCGAGAGGTGTACGAGCAGCCTGCCGAAGGAGTAGCTTTGCTAGCGCCTGGGCAAGCCGAATTCAGGGATCGTTTGTGATCGTTTCCTCCGAAAGAGAAAACGATGTATCTTGGACGCGCTCTGTTGTGGTGGCGCCAACTGCGGCTCCTGTATGATATCCACGGTGCATGCAGCAAGTCAAAGTCCTGCCCCTAATTACCTGGAATGCAGCCTTGTGCTCGCAGATCGGTACCAACTTCGGCAAGCAACTGCCCTGCCTGCAAAATGCGAGATGCCAGAAACTTCTGAGAGACTCACGATTCGGCTGGCACACATGAAACAAGAAGCAGCTGCTAAATCATGAAAGATCCGCCTCGCCAGATGAAGTCCGATAAAGTAGCAGGCAAACCTGCTGAAACCAATTTTTTGAGAACCCCGCGGGAAGCATGTCGGCAAAGCTTCAGATCCCGGCGTCCTGTCGATATGGCGACTTGTCCAATCGAACTTAGTGCTTGTGGTCAGGCTGGCTCGCATGATCGCCCACACAAGTGGCATCACTCAACAGGTGGACCCGCAGCTCTTGCTAAATCTACGGGCACTGCGCTACTGTGTCTCTGGACTTATTGGGTTCGCAGCACACGCAAAGCTCATATCTTCGACTACATCGACCAGTAGATATGGTTTTTTGTCAACAAGATTCTCTCAATGTGTTTTGACACCTTCCTTTATTCACTGAATCTTGCTGCCGTTTTCGTCTGCTGCCCCTGTCGACAATGCATTGGGCAGCTGACATCTTCGAGACATGACAAGACGTGGCATCCCGGAGACGATTCCTTCACACCTCGACAATTTAACCGACTGACAGTAGTCGGGAGGATTACTGTGCCAGACGTGACGGCCGCGACGGTTGACACGGCACGGTCGACATATGAGAAGGATCTGCAGTGTGATGCAGTAAACAGGTGTGAAGACGGCCAAAACAGGATCTCGCACAAGCAGGTAGCTGATCATCCAATGAGGCAGAAATATTGAGGTATATTGAGGTTGTCACCTTGCGCTCTGAAAGGCGAACAGCCAGCTTTGACGTCCAACCATGCGACGTCAAATGCACCAGGTGGAACTAGGCATAAGAATCAGAAAAACAGACAAGTGGCAAGGAACCATCGATTGCAATTCGGTTCGAGGCTCTAAAAGACACGTTGTACAAGAGCTGCATGCAACGTAGCCTTTGTAACTTGGCAGTGACTCTCTGTGGCGTCCAACCCTCCATTTCACTAAAGGATGCGACATCATCAGAGGCAAAGCCCTGCTGAAAGGTAGGCAGCGTTCACATGAGGTTATCTATGCCTGAGTCCAGGTCGGCTTTGCGAAAGCAGCGAGCGCTCTCAATGAAGTAAAACCATGAGGGCTCCGGCAACCGAGCTGTGGCGCAACTCTCTCAAATGCAGCAGATTGCCTCCATGTCGCCATTTTTGGTGCATCAAGCGTGGACAGAATCTGGAAAGCTGCCGGACTACGCGACGACGTAGTCACGCCGCGTACAACTCCGGCAAGTACTCAGGAAGAAAGCGGCGCAACATGGAAGAAACGATGACAATCTCAGTGATCATGTCTACATCATGAACTGAAACCCGACGCCAATGTCTGCATTTGGAAGGCAAGCAAAGCCATCTCGAGGCCACGTAGGCCAAAAAATCCGAGTACCAATCGTGGAGTAGGTAGCAGGTAGTAAGTACTGTAGTAGTAGGAGTAGTAGTAGTAGTAGTTGTTGTTGGTAGTAATGTTAACTTCGCTTTAATAACCCCCCCGAGATAGATTTCGGCCCCAATCAGGGGGGGGATTGACTATTGAGGGGGGTCCCCAAGAGGGATTGTTTCGGAGCACGGCTGTCTCTCTAAAGGCCTTCCCTCCGGAGCATAGGGTTCATTATTGAGTTCCTGCGGTTGAGTATTATAATTGAGGGGGTTTATGATTGAGTTCCGCGGATCGGGTTTTTATGATTGAGCGGGGGATTATAATTGCCAAGTTAACTGTAGTGGTAGTAGTAGTAGTAGTAGTAGTAGTAGTCGCAGTAGTCGTAGTTGTAGAAGTAGTAGTAGTAGTAGTAGTAGTAGTAGTAGTAGTCGTGGTGGTGGTGGTGGTGGTAGTAGGGGTACTAGACTAGTAGTAGTGTCACCCACTTGGCACGCCTATGACAGCACTGCGGGGAACTGCGAAAGGGCACAAAGGAGCATTAGTGATTTCGGTTCCTCAAGGAAAAATGGCCCACAACTACGTCACTCAACCATGTGTAAGTAACTATTTCAGTCATGGGCCAGGGTCTTACTTTTTGGGTTATGCTGCCTTTCAGACAAGTGCGGATATACAAGTAAAAGACATGTCGAGACTTTGTACAGGAGTGCTGCTCCCGGGCACAACATGGGGCGGCGAGAGTCCCGCAACACTGAAAACCAGGATAGTAGTAGTAGTAGTAGTAGTAGCAGCAGTAGTAGCAGTAGCAGTAGTAGCAGTAGTAGTAGTAGTAGTAGTAGTATTAGTTAGTAGTTAGTAGTTAGTAGTTAGTAGTTAGTAGTT